TAATGTTCATACATACTACAGGCTTTCAGAAATGTTTTGCATCTTCGACAAAATTGTCAACACCGTTAGACAACTCAACCGACAACACCCAGCCATCCAGCTCGTCGTCTTTATTGCAATAATCATCTTTATGCATCTACCCCCATCCCCGCGCTGCCGCTGCCTGCACGCTCACACGCTCTTTGCTTGCTGCATTGTTGTTTCGAAGAGATGGTACCATTTAGAGCAATTATTGCCAGGAAATCATTACTAATTTTATTCTCGCATTGCTGCTTGCATTGTTGGCCAACAGTCGACGCAGCCGCCAGCGAAGCTCGCCAGTCACCAGGAGGAGGTTGTTGTTGCTCATCTTCGCAATTCCACCCTCCCAAGTTTAACCATTGCCAGCTTCTATACACGAATTTTCTGGTGAAATTGGCGTATATAATTTGTTTGAAATTTCATCAGCTCACATGCCAGCTCGACCTTCTCGAAGTGTTGGTATTTTACAATAGCTTATAAAGTTCTTTAAACGTTAGCCAATTTGAAATTTTCAACTTTGTGAACTTTACAACACATTCTCAGCGCTTATGCTTGTATAGCTTTAGAAATGTATGTCGTCCTTTTTCGGTCCTTAGCTTTGTGCAAATTTGCTTACAAACAATTAATTTTCTTAATACCCCACCGCAACAAGCGAATATTTCACTTACACTTACACCCCGCCACATTGGCCGCAGACACGCCCCAGCCGCAACACAAGGTGAGCAAAGCATCAAAAGGATCTGGGCACTTAAGTATTTATGTATCTATGCATTTGGAGTCTATTGGGATACCCGCTTGTGTGGGTGTGCATATCTACATGCATGTCCTTTAAAATTGCTGCCTGTCAACTACAAGCATGTTAGCGGAAATGTTTTCCATCTACGCCCATCATGAAATTCGACTATCTATGCATATGCACAAATATACTTATATGTATAAATTTATATCTATCTGTATGTACATATGTAAATCTGTATGTTTGTCATATAGTGGCGTGCACATGAGTGCGAGTTAAGTTTGTGCAAGTTGTTTAAGGATGTTGAAATTCCTTTAGTAGTCTCTGGCTTTAGAAAATTACATTCGTTTGCGGTCATAGCTTTACCAGTTTGCGGATTTTTTGAACCCTTGCAAATATAAAAATGGACATAAATTGTTGGTAATTTAATAAGTGGGCATACGTTTTTGGATATGTAAAAGCTGGACATAAATTTATGGCCATTGAAAAGTGGGACATAAATTTACGACCAGACATACATATATGTCCATTTAATTGTTGGACATAAATTTTTGATGATTTAAAATTGTGCACATGAAATTGACAGCAAATATTGGTTTGCAAAAAGTGGACATAAAAAACTGAACACTTAAAACCATACATGTGGATGGATACTTTTGAGACACAAGCTATCTTAGGTGAGCAGTTTATTTGAACTCTTTAAAGTAAACAATAAATATACATAAGTTTTACGTAATTTAATAACTGGACATAACATTTTTTGCCATGTATTGGACTGGACATAAATTTGTGGTCATTCAAAAGTTGGACATAAATTTTTGGTAATTTAACATTTTAAACTGGACATGTGAATGGGTTTATTTGGACACTGTACAGTTTTTTCTCTTGTTAGCATTTTCAACAGGCGACATATTATATATACATTGGGGTGGTCCTTAAAAAATGAAATGAGCGATTTTTTTCAGTCTCACCCCTTCAATCGGTAATACCACGGTCACAGATATCACATACAAGTTTTGGTCGGTTAAGACGTCTTCATAGAGTACTCTGAATTTTGATCCCTGTGCGCCACGCCTTAACCGAAATTAATATATACATATATATTCATCAACAGTACAGTAGAAAAATATTCCACGCCAACATTTAATTATTTTTAAATAATATGACTTTTAAATTAAGGCCTGCCGTGTAAATGTGGTGTATGGGGCGTATACGTTACACACAACTACGGGTATATGATCACGAGCTGTTATTTTTAAATTTTTTAGTATCTCTTTTTTAATTTTCATTTAAATACAATTTCGCGATGGAATCTTGTTCTTTATGCAAAACTGAAGATAATGTATTGTCTAAGACAAGTGTGTCACCATTTTCGAACAAAATCACGCTTGTGTCGAAAAATGTAATAACTTGTGAGACTTGCTCATATGGGAAACATTTTAAAGCAGTCTTTCTTAGCTCGTATACAAAAAAAAAAGAAACCTAACATGCCTCACTTGAGTGTTGTAAGTATATAAGAAAGTTCAAGAAGTTGGTCCAGTATTGGACGACTTGCCAAGTCGTGACATTTGCAGAGCTATTTCAAGAGAGTACGATTTGATATTACAGAGGATTTTAAAAAATAATCCACCTATGAAATCTGCTCCATAAAAATTGGCTCGAAGATGCATACTTGGCTTTCTGGCCGCAATAAAAATTCGTCTGAAGGATTTCCAGATCCAGTTTCCAGCAACAGCGGTGGGGCACTTGTTGACCCTAAACCAAAAAAAAAAAACAACTTCAAGATTGTGCGGATAATGATTGGAGCTAAGTAATTGGTTTTCTCTACCTACTTTCTATAGCGTAGTCCATGGCCTTGAGGACTGCAAACACCTCTGTCTGAAATACTGAGGCATGATCCCTAAGAAAGAAATGACGATTGTCCGCGTTTCTTATTATTCCAGCCACTCACTGGTCAATCTGGTATTACACGCTACCACATGTAGCAGGACATTGCGAAAACCAATTGCATTTCTTCACACATGTGTGCAAATTTCAAATATGTATATTGAACATTTGTTTTTGTTGTTGTTGTTTTTACTGTCAAATTGGGCGCACTCGACTTAAACACAATTGCAAATTGCATTTAATAATTGTTTGCAGTACTGGAGGAGATTGAGTACGCCTGGAAAGTGTAGATGAGGGATGGCGCTATGTGGTCCTTGGTTGCTAGAGGTAGGCTGCAAATCTACCAAAGGGTTATTACTTGACGACAGTCAACTGGATACATATAAACACCTGCTGTGATGATGATGGCAGCGGTTGGGGTTTACATACACACATACATACGCACATAAATACGCTTAGGTTAAGGGCGTTAAATGCGCATTTTCTTCGTGTAGTCGAAGCTTAGCATTGTTGGGGTTAATGTAGGGTTGTTGACGAAGAAAAGCAGAGGAGCAGCTGACTTCCGATTGGATTCTATTGTATTGCCTGCAGCTCCAACTGCTGCCGCTAACCTCATCAAGGCGTGAAAAGAGGGTTGATTGCTATTGGCAGCAAAGTGGCCAGGCAAATGTGAACACTTTACATATAGACGTACATATATTTTACATATGTATGTACATTAGACTGTACCATCTTACAAGCAAACCAAAAAAAAAAAACTAGCCGTACACCCCTGAGTCTAAAATATTATTGCAAGGCGATTTCGAAAAAAACTTTTTTGGCCGAGCCTAGGGGTCGCCATTTTAAATTCTTCGCTGACAGCAACGTTGGGCAATAAATTATTATTATTTTTTAATAGTTCTACTAGAATAACCAAAATACTTCCTTAACAAAAGTTTAATGATTTTTGGTGGGCTCTAAATTATTGACGTTAGGATGGTACGTTAGGGTGCTAGGCACTCAAATTTGGTTGGTATGTACTAGAACCAGGTACTTGAGGCCAATGAACTTTAGCGCAACAAAATTATCTCCTCAAGACAAAAATATCGATATATTTATCATGCTTTATGCTCCGACTGTAAATGCCGAAGATATGACGAAAAATGACAAAAGCCGACCGCTACGCTTGCCAAAAAAAATTTAATTTCATGTAGGAGCGAAATTTTTCGTTAGAAAAAGTTTAATAATTTTTGGTAAGCTTTGATTCACTGACATTAGGGTGGTTCCTTGAGGTGGTAGAAACTGAAGATCGGCTGTGTAAGTACTAGAACGGGGTACTTGAGGTCAATGAGCTTTAGAACAGAAAAAATTTTAAAAGCAGCGACCTATTATGCCTTAAGATTCGACTGTAAACGCCGCAGACATGACAAAATAGACCCCTTGTTAGGAAAAAAACACTTTTTTTTCGAAATCGCCTTGCAACGTACTTAAGAATTGTGGGTGTATCTACAATTGCGTGGTCAAAAAAAAAAAAGTTAAAGTGTATAGAAAGCTCTCACCCTCTAGAATTTTTCGAAGTGGAAAAACAGAATATTTACACGGGTTTTTTTTTTTTTTAAATATGAAGTTCTCCATTTATTTTATATGGAGAAAAAAAACTTTTTCGTAGAAATGGTATAGAATTTCTGAAAATCAATATTTTTCGATCCGAAAGCTTCACTTCTCTTTAGTAGAATTCCAGTAACTATATCAAATTATTTACTTAACCGTTTTGTAATTATAACTATTTTTTGTTGAATTTTTTTTATGATTTTCGGGAGACCTATAAAAATAGTATCTATTTATTAAATAATGGTTAAATAAACATTTGGATTTTGTGACAGAGAGAGAGAGAAAGTGTTGTTTCGCCATATAAAATACATCGGAAACTTCATGGACTTTGAGGTAGTTTTAACTATAATTTTTTTAACAAAAAAAAAATACGGATATTATTTTTTCCATTTCGAAAAATCCTATGGGATGAGATCTTCACATTTTAAACATTTTTCCTCCCACGTGTATTTTTGGGCCACCCTAGTGTACTACAAACTTTTTTATGGTACGGTCTAATGTTCATAAATATTACTTTTGTATGCACATAAATATCTATATTGTTGGTAGTGTGGGCCTATCAGCTGGCTTGTTTGCTGGTTAATGCTTGTGTTCATAGAATTAGACACGGCAATTATTTTTGCAATACAGCTAATTTGGCAGTGATTCCAAGCGAATTTCGTATCTTGAAATATGCATACATATGTATTTGAACTTCTTTTATGACACTTAACGTTTAAAAAATGCACTAATTTTTTATAAATTGTTTCCTTATTTCTATTTTAAGGTTTGGTTTCAAAATCGTCGTGCTAAGTGGCGCAAACGCGAAAAATTTATGAATCAGGACAAAAACGGATATCTGCTGCCCGATCAAGGTTGGTAGTTTTCCTTTCTTTATATTATTTAAAACAGATTTATTTTCTTTATCTGAACCTCTTAATCTGTTTATTATTTTTTAACTAAGTACTTCACGCTTCTCATTTCACTTTTGTTCATGCCATTATTTATAACAAACTGCCCACGCGACTTGATTTATGCCCAAATTGACGTTAATGTAATTTTAATTACCTTTGCTTAAGTTTTTTGCTCAACAAAGAATAACGTTTTCCGATACGCATTATTATATTTATTAACAAATTATGTACTACCGTCTTGCTGTTTAGTATATTCAAAATTTACTATGTATTTACTAATTTTCATTAACATCGCATGCAATGCAAAAAAAAAACGCGTTTGACATTCCTCCATACCTCCACTAATGAATTCAATTTCAATTCCGTTTCCCTTACAGGCTTGCCCGATTTTCCGCTTGGTATTCCCCTTCCACATGGCATCCCCGGCCACCCAGCCACATTGCCACCTGAGTTTTGGCCACCACATTTTGCCTTACATCAGCACTTCAATCCCGCTCTGTTGCCACCCAGCCTTATGCCGCACTACAAATTGCCCAATTTCCATACGCTGCTCTCACAATACATGGGTTTGAGTAATTTGAATGGCATCTTCGCTGCTGGCTACCCGCAAAATCTATCCTTACACTCTGCCGCACAAGTTAGTCCGCCGTGCAGTAATAGTCCGCGTGACAGTCCACCTACTCAACAACAATCTGCAGCGGCGCTCGCGTGTCTGGTGCCCACATCAATGGTGGCGGGTGGTGGTGTGACGTTGACTTCATCGGCCGCAGCCTCGCCCAAGAGTCCCATGGCGCCAAGTGTGGCGAGCAGCGCTTCAACGCCTGTATCGGTGGTGACCAAAACTGAGGAATGAACATAACTGCGGCGAAGTTGTTGTGCGGTGACAGTTGAAGGCTGAGTGCAAATCTTTTGCTGGGCGAATAGGCGTTGTACATACATATAGATATGTATACATAAATCGGTCATACGTGCCGTATAAGTATTTTAATTGCTAACTAATTTAATTTGTAAATATATTCAATAAATAATTTAAATGCCGCATGTAGTGCTAAGGGTTTGTAAGTTTTAAGGACAGAATAAAAAGTGATAACGACTTGCTTGCTTAAGGAAGAAATGTACATTTGTATTTTAATGAGCATTTAAAGAAATGAAAGTATGCAAATAATTCATGCAACATACATTTATATGTACGTACGTACATATATGCGTAGATCAGATACGTGATTTAATTACTTAACCGATTGATTGCCAAACACGAAAAGAATGAACATCAATGAAGTAGTGATAAATTATAAGAATTATGAATAGACTAAAGTTATTGTAGATATATAAGTACACAAACAAATATAGAAAAAATATGCGTACGTAGAGTACATAATAAAGTCAAAATTTAAAGTTTACACAACAAATGTTTTGGTTTTTTTATTTGAAAGACTCATATTGTGCGGCGGTGCGTCCCATTCTATTTTACGGCATCACGGGGTGGTGGCCCTCCGTAGATAGATCTACAAGAAAAGGCAAACTAACTAAGGTTCAAGGATGGCGTACATGATGATCACGGGGACGCACAGTGTTGCGACTATATGGAGGCAGATAGAAAAAAGTCATGGTGACAGTTGATGAAAAAAACCGGTTGGACTTAGAGAGGGAAAAGCAAAAGTCACAAATACCACATTTCACATTATTTACTCACCCCCCCCCTTCTTCACGAACGATACATTTCCAAAGAAATACGGGAATCGGCGCGAAACCGAGTAATCAGTTAAGCTGCCTTTAGCGATTAACCCATTAAACTAAATGTTTCTTTTTCAACTGTAATCAATTATTTTAACATCGTGGAATATTCAGGTGAAGGTATTTATCATTTATTTGGTACTTTCCTATTTTCTTACCAAAAAAATTACTTTGAAATTTAGATGCTAAAGATTATTAGTAAAAAAAGTGTGAGAACCGGACCGTCAGGTCTTGAAATTAGACAAATGTTTCAGAGAATTTTATGTAGTTTTAGAATGCATAATTTGATCTTTGCGCGCGACTGCGCAAATGTATGTAATTTTTGATTTTCAGCCTCTTTTTGCATAATTTCGCGAAAAGAATTTTTCGAACAACAAAAAAATCTCTCCAGACATTGGGAAAAAGCGAGTATTTACGCCTAAGTCATTTTATAATATAACCTTTATTTTCTGGGAGTGAAAAGCAGGGGGAAAAATTAACCAAAATTTCATCACATTTAACGACTGGGCCCACATTTTTTGTGAGTTTTGGACGTTATAGTGATCCAATCTTCCCCATTTTTTATATTTAGGTTTTTCTAATAAAAGAGAGAGCACAAACTAAATTTCATCGCAATCGGATGAAATTTAATTTTTCCGCCCCCAAGAGTAGAAGGCGTGGCAATTATTCCATCTTTACCAAATTTCCTAATTCACTATTTCTAAGTAAAAATGGAGCACATGTCAAGTTTCAGTGAAATTAGTGCAGGTTTACTATTATTTCCACTTGCCTCCATATAGTCGAAACAATGTGGGGCGTTACCCTCAGCGTCGACTAAAGCCCTAGAGACCTTACTTCACTTTCTACCTGTGGATGGAAAACTACAGGAAAGCTGTAATGCTATTAGACTAAACGCACTGATTAAGTGGAGTGACACAAGATTCGGACACTATAATTCTGTAAGATCTTCCAGCGGTCTTTAGGCGCCTGGAAAACACAGTCCCTCCCACTGGATTGATGAATCATTTCTAAACAAGGATTTCCTCAAAGGGTGAATGGGAACAGGATTCAGCCCTGTTCTCTTAATCCGACTCAGCAGTCATCTGAACTGGCGGATCCTAGTTGAATTTGAAGGAAGGAAATGGAGTATACTCGCAAGATCTCTCACTTAGCCTCATTTTTCGTCTGCCCGGTCTTTGCAGCGTTTTCCAAGCTGAACTTAGGGCAATCAATGAACCTGCAAGATGGCTGATCGATTCTTCCATTAATTTGTATGCAGTAGCTATCTTTTCTGATAGCCAGGCAGCAGTCAAAGCATTTAATTGTGACAAATCGTCGTTGAGTATTGTCCTGGTTGACGTGGTTCAAAGTTATGCGGTAACATACATAAAAAATAAAAAATAAATAAAAAATAAAAATATTCCGACGAACTGATTACCTCCTCCATTTTTGGAAGTCGGTTAAAACCCTCGATCGATTCGGAAAAAGTTCGGGAACAACATATGTCTTTTATATTAAAAAACCATCGATAGTTTCAGTCGAACGCCAAGGACTTTTCCAACTGCAATTAAACTCAACCAGTTTGGATAGTAAAAGCACCACTTAGTAGCGGACGGAATTGCCCATTGATTATTGGGTTACAAATGGCTGAAAATGAAGAGACTTCCTTTAGTATGCAATATGCAAAATGCATTTCGTTTAGCCATACATCGGCAGAATCATTTGACCAGGGATTCCCGCGGCATCCCGAACAAATAATCTAACATTTCCGCCCAGAGAAAGCGTGAGACGTTCATTTACTTCATTGATTTCAGTTCTTGTAGCATAAGGGTTGTTGTAGACATTTCATTTCATAAATGTTTGTGAAAATCGATGAGTCGGGCGTTGTCTGGTCATTTGAGTTTGATTTGAGTCAAAGCGACAGCCATCTTCTTTTGCACGTTGATTTTCTTGTGACCATCGCAAACAACTATCAAGTTCGTTCCATGATTCCTGATGATATAATCTTCGCGCAGTTTAAGGATTTGCTGATAGGTACTTCCGAGAGGCCAGACAACTTTGTGGAACAAGAATCACCCGTCGATGAGAATTTTAAATTCAGCCAAGTTGATGGCATTCATCGGTGGACATGTGAAGGCGTTGTAAAGGTCTAACTTCTTCGATTTCATCATGAGATCCTGATCGTCGAATAACGCGAAGTGGAAGAGGGCTAATTCATGATGTAATGCTAGGGTGTCTAAATCACTGTCGTTCTTCGTGATTGCTGTGAAATGCTGGAATATTTATTAGGGTAGTATCGACCGTTAAAAGCTCGTTGTCAATCACAATTCCACGTTTATTTGTAGAAATAGATTTATCACGTGTCCAGCGTTTCTTCTTTACGTTTGCAGCATTAATTCCAAGCATCAAAGTCATTCCAATGTCAATCACCTTATCACAACCGCGTTGAACTCCAGCACTGAAGTCGTCGCCAATGGACATCAGTTGGCCAGTATCAACAGCTGTAGAGTGAGCCACTCCACCAACTTGATGTAATCTTAGGTATCCTTGATTATATTCCAGAGAATGTTTCAAATCCTTCCATGACTTCATAGGCAATCGGAAATCTAAGTATTCACCTCGCGATGGCTCCTTCTTTGTTCATTCTATGGCCATGAGCCCCCTGAAATTTTCATATTTCTCCAGATGCCAGCCCACTTCTTAACAGATCGTCGGATAGTAAAATTACCTTCGATTGCGAATTTGTGTTATTCTTCAGGACTTATCTCTTTGCGCAACTCAGGTATGTCCTGCAAGTAGATGTATTTGAGCACATTTGGCATAGGCCAAATGACCAGCAGCAGGAAAGAAAGGCAGCATGTCTTGTACACATTGGAGATGGAGTTGCCAGTTTCCCAGACAATCTGCTTCAATGAACTGCAATATTAATGTGATAACATCGAAAAATTGCAGCCACAACCTTAATGTGCGCCCAACGTCTGCAAGATCATCGATAGCACGCGACAGCTCTGTCACAATGTGAGTCAGATTTCCATCTTGGCTGATTTCTTCCAGTATAAATGGCTGAATCGAGAATTCCTGGAAATGTTCTGTTATATGGCGTCCAAATTCGCCGCATGACAAGCAATGATCTTGCCTACAGCTGTATGAACTAGAAGATAACCTCTTATTGCTCCACTGAAGGCATGGCCATTCAGCATGTGGTCCACGGTATCGCTTGCAAAATTCATCGTTCCAAGGGCTCCAAGCAATGACGTCAGGCGATGGTGGCCTCCTAGTCTCACAGGCACAGGATGTTTGTATCATTGGCGACAATTTCGCCAACTAACAGCTGTTAAGCTAACCTGGACACAAAGCACATTATCGTGATCGCTCTGGGCTCGGAATGGTTTAAGAGCTTTTAGGGTGGGCTTTGGGGAAACCTTCTCCTGTTGACTATAATGGGTATTTGTGCTCACCCACAGTCAACATGTCCTGGAGAATTATTTACTGGAAAATTTCACCAAAAGTCTTCTCAGATAAGATCTGTACACGAAGAACATAAAATTCTGTAGAGAAAATAACAAGTAAATCTCCTAAATGTATCGTCATTTAAAGTACAAAACCGCGTATGTGAGGCTGCATAAATTATTTTGAAGATTTATTTTATTTTAGAATTTATTTATTACAAAACTAGCAAATACCCGGCGTACTCACTGCGCCTTAAAAGTATATATCTTAGTGTTGCTTGACACCCGTATTGTAATATTTCATTTGTTTGACAAATTTAATTAAATAAAAATTTTCAAATAGGTGGCAACCCTTCTCAAAAATATTTTCGGTAGTAAACTTTTCTAAACTTCATGAGTATGCAATATTTAATTTATCTTATCAATTGAATTAAATTAAAATTTTCAAACATGTCGCAACCTCCACAAAAATATTTTCTTAAATCACTTTCTTTAGATAGCCATATTGCAAAATTTACTTAAACTGCAATTTTCAAACAGGTGGCAACTCTCTAATTTTTCTTCTTCCTATATTTTGAGTTAGACCGCTAGCAATACATCATTGAAGACTGTAATCAATTTTATGCATTAGTTTCCGCGTGACGCGCGTACAAACATACAGACAGACAAAAAAATATAACAATTATTGATTTGGCCTCTATTGCTCTAATAAAGACTCCTTTTAATTTTACAGACATCGGCCTGTTACAATTTTATTATATGTATAGATAAGATACACATGCATGTACATATATATATACATATGTACTTATGTAAGTATGTACTTTCATTATGCTTCACCAGGTATGCACACTATAATAAAAAAAAGGAAAGACAATTACTTGAAAATTTTCCAATTGCAACTTTTACCGGAAAGCCGTGAGAATGAGGGTTAAAAGCAGAGGAAAACGAGTATGTAGGACTCATGCGGCGTTAAATACAATACTGTCTGACTTAATTATTGCACCGCACAATTATTAAATATTTTTCCAACGTCTTGGCGGCTGCATTCTTTCTGGTTCAAGTGCACAGCGGGATAAAGTGGCAAAGGATATAAAAAGTGGAAATGGGAGCGATACAAGTTTCTATTGATGTGCATGTATGAATATATACATAGTTT